ATATATATATATATGTATATATATGTATGTATTTATATATATATATATATATATATATATATATATATATATATATACATATATATATATATATATATATATATATATATATATATATATATATATATATATATATATATATATATATATATATATATATATACACAGTACTGTGAATATGTTTTAGACCACTTACATCTTTTGCCTTAATCACAGCCGATATTCGCCGGGAAATAGATTCATACAAATTTGTTATAAAATCCTGCGGTATGTTGTGCCATTCTCTTTGAAGTAGTTGAAAACATTCTTCAGCATTTCGGGGAGCATGTTCGACCTTTTTCCTGTCCAAGTAATCCCAAATATGCTCGATTATATTCAAATCTGGACTCTGGGGAGGCCAGGTCATCATTTCCAGTATTCCTTCTTCTGCCATTTCTCGGGAACAATGTTTTGGGTCATTGTCCTGCTGCAGAATAAAATTATGGCCCATTAGTCTCATTCCGGATGGTATAGCATGCTGTCTTAGAATATCCACATAACGTTCCCTGGTGAGTCGTCCCTCTATTTTGATCAGATCACCTACCCCAGATGAAGATAAACAGCCCCAAACTTGTAAAGAGCCTCCTCCGTGTTTAATAGTAGGGTTTAAACACTCGGGCTGATAGGCTTCTCCTATTCTTCTTCGAACATATTGACGTCTTTTCGTTCCAAAAATTTCAAATTTGGACTCATCAGTGTACAGAACCCGATTAAACATTTCCTGGGTCCAATCTTTGTGTTGTTTTGCATATTTAAGTCGTTTTTCTCTATTGCCACGCCGTTATAAAGGTTTTCGAATAGCAACGCAGCCTCGTAATCCTGATTTGAGTAGGTGTCGTCGAATACAAGAAGAGCTAACATTTTTCCCTGTTGCTGAATTAATGTCCTTTGCCAATTCGGTGGATGTTTTTTTCCTGTTTCTTAAAGAAAGGGTTTTTAAATATTTATTGTCATCTTTTGTTAACTTAGGAGGTCTGCCACTTTTCTTTCTATTTCGAAGGGAGCCAGTTTCTCTAAACTTTTTAATGATTTCTCTAATAGCAGTCTTCGAATATCCTGTTTTGGAAGAAATTTGGCGCTGCGAATAACCTTCTTCGTGAAGCACAATAACTTTCTGTCTCTCTATTAAAGATATTTTACCCATAGCAACACTTAATTAATGCGCTAAACGTATACGAACTAAATATATACCATAACTTGTTGTTTATGTTTAAACTTCAAAATGAACTAATTCCAAAATATTTTTATAAAGGTTTCTCTCTAATTAACCATAAATATGAAACAAGACACTCAATAAATAATTACTACATCCCACCAACATCACTCAAAAAATCTGACTTCTCAAATACATGTCGGGGGCCACGCTTGTGGAAGTCAGTTCTTGACGAAAATATGAAAAAAAATAAAATCTATTGATATATTCAAAAGAACTATAAAAAAAAAAACTTACTAAACTCAAACATTACATACATTCTTTCATTTTTTTAAAAATAATATTTTTTTGATAAATTTGATAAAAAGCTTTTTTTTTTTTTTTTTTTTTTTTTTTATATATATATATACATATATATCTTTCTTGTTTGATTTTCTCTTTGACTGTTTTTTTTTTAACTTTTTTTAATAAATACTAACAAATGAATTTAAATCTACATAACGTTTGGAATCTTTTTAATATATAAATATTTTTGAATATATACTTCGCTTTGTATTGAATATGTATACGTATATGTACTGATTTGTAAAAAAAAATTCAAACTTTTTAATTTACGCATTGTATACATTTTTATTTTTTTATTTCGAGATTTTATTATTATTATTATTATTTTTTTTTTTTCTTTCTAATTTTTACTTTTTTTAATTTTTAATTTATTTTAAACTTTTTAATTTTTTTCAATCTTTTTACTTTATTTCAAACTCTTTAAATTTTTTTTTTTTTTTTTTTTTTTTTTTTTTTTTTTTTTTTTTTTTTATTTTAATTTTGTTTGAATGTTTGTTTATTTTTTCAAAATTTTTAATTTAACTCTTTTTTATATTATTGGAATTTTAGAAATTTTATATTTCTCTATTTCACAAAAGGGCTTGATGATAAGACTTTATGTCTTCTACTTGCCCCTGTCAGCTTGTAATTATATATATATTTATTCGAATTTAAAGATAACATTGTAAAATGTGTAAAACGACAAAATAAACTAACTATAATAAAAAAATCTAAAAATGTAAACTAATAACTTTATTTAATTATTTTTAACTATTTGTTTAACTGTATTCATAAAAAATAACAACTTTTTAAAAAATTTACCAAAACCGATTATTATTGTATTAAATTCACTCTATGACTACATTTTATACTGTTAAAAACTTAAATGAACGAATATGAACCTGAACCAGAAAGAAAAAAATCGAAAATTTTATTTTTATGTATTATTTAGATGAACGCTTGGTCTGCAGTTAATATGACAATTATCGTTTTAATAAATAAACAAACATATCCCTCATGTTCCTCATAAATTTTTGCTTATTTATTCAAGATAATATATTCTTTCAACCTTTCTCAAATATTACTCAACTGCAGTAAGCTTAAAAAAAAAAATACACAGGAAAAAAATTGAAAATACAACTAATTATATAAGTGGTCTAAAACATATTCACAGTACTGTATATATATATATATATATATATGTATATATATATATATATATATATATATATATATATATATATATATATATATATATATATATATATATATATATGCAATATATTTTAATATAATCCTCCTTTCAGTGCAAATGTTGTAACAAATATAGGTAAATGTTTTTTGAACCTTTTTGACCTCCACATTCCAGTAAACCACAGACTTTGTAATATATTTAATAGAAACGCAATTAAAATTAGTTATTAATGCATGTTAAACTTAAAATCCATTATTAACTCTCACAAGAAAGAAAACTTACATAAGGAGTCAAAAATAAATAAAAAGACATGTAACTGCATTGACAAATCAAAAATAAACAATTATTGTCTATCTAACAACATTGTTAATGAGGCCACCATTTATTCAAACAAGATTGAATACAAAAAAAAAAAGTGTATTTTGGACTCAGCAAAACATCTTTTAAAGTTCCGTATGCGAACAAGAACGTAACCTTATTCCTCACTGATCTTTTCTATACTTTTGTTGTTTTTGTTGTTTTTGTTATTGTTGTTGTTATTTAGGTGCCCCAAAAAAGCCTAACGTTTATGTCACAGAGCACCGCGGAAATGCATTTAAACAGGAAGTTCTCGCCTCCTTCTTTATCGTGACACGAAAATATGTCCAAGGCTCGTTTTGAACTTGGATCTCCTGCTCATAACACAAGCGCTCTAACCACTGCCCCACGGACGCACATATACTTTTCCTTATATATATATATATATATATATATATATATATATATATATATATATATATATATATATATATATATATATATATATATATATATATATATATATATATATTATATATATATATATATATATATATATATATATATATATATATATATATATATATATATATAGCTTTCCAGACCCATAAAAACAAAAACAAAAACAAATCCTACCATTTCTATACTTATCACTTTCACACCGATTATTTCTATACTTATTACTTATTTAGTTAATTTTTTTACATAAAATAATTCATTTTTTACATAAAATAATTCATTTTATAAAATTGCTTTAAGGGCAAAAAAAAAGAAGTTTAAGAAAATCTTGAACTTTTTTGTTTTGTTCATTAGTGAAATTTAGCGTTGCGTAATATATGGACAATCCCTTATTTAAAAGTTTAAATTAGAGATCAGCCAAAATGCATATTAAACCAAAAATTAATGGATTATAATACTATTTTGAGGGTAATCTAATTTCTGTCGTGGTTGCGCACTCGATTCAGAATGTTTAACGTTTATATATAAAAATGTTATATTATCATTTTTTATGCACTAACTCAACATAGTTGTGAAATGTATAACTAAAATAGCATAAATATTAATCATGACACATACGCAACATATTTCCTCTATTATTTAATGTTTTCAGAGTTTTTAGCTATTTTAAAAAATCTTTTCATTTATTAAAGTGTATAATATCGCTACTTATATTTGTATACAATCTTTATAAAACTTAACAAGTATTTTGTATTTTAATAAATCTTAAAAAAAAATTAAAAAATGTTCTCAGTGGTTACATATGCACATATTATATATAAACGCCAGTGGTTACATGTATACATATTACACAAATCACGGCTGTTTTGTACAGAAGCTCCGCGCTAACCACTCCACCACGCTGGCACATTGATTTATGATTATGATAATAGTTGTATGCTATAGATCAAATTTAAGGAGAGATTGACGCAATGCAACTATTAATAAAAGTAAAACTATAAAACTTGATATATGCTTCAGTATGTTTTAACATTACATAACTTGAAGATAACGTACGTCGATACTTGCTTACACTTTCGTTAATATTTTTTTTTTTTAAAAGTGTGCCGTGACTCTTTCTCGCCATTTTCTTGATAGCAACGGTAATATAAGATAAGATAATATAATACAAGATAAGAGTTCTGCATCAAACGCGCTCGAATGAGCACTACTTCTTCTACTACTACTACTACTACTACTACTACTACTACTACTACTACTACTACTACTACTACTACTACTAATACTAATACTACTAATACTATTAAGTATTAAGTTCAACAATATTATATTGATTAGAAAATAAACATACTGAAAAAAAAAAATATATACGAACTAATAAAAACATAAAATAAAAATTATTAATTTTTATTAATAAAAATAAAATAACTCATTTTAAAAAGAAAATAATTCACATTTCAGATAATAGCTCTGAACTACCAAAATAATTTTTTTCCTCGTCGTTCAGAAAATATTCTTCATTTAATTAAGTTGATTTTTTATTACCATCTAATTTGCTGAAAAACAAAATTTATCTTTATCATAAACACCTTGAAAATAGTGAATGCCGTGCACTAAACATAACTAATGATTAATACTAACTTTTCTACTTTTTTTATTACCGATGTTTAATCTAAAAAAAAAGTTGCGTAGACCGAGGAATTGCTCCAAAAACTCTAATTAACAGCAATTTTGTTATTTTACTCGCCCGGCCTAAGAGATTGTAGTGTATCCATTTTGTTATTGTATTGTTTAAATTTTCTTATAAATATTGATTTGAATACAGTTAATAAAATTATACATTTTGCCTAAAGATCTATACTTTGTATTGCATCATCTCTGGATATGTGCAACAACAGCCTTATAAGTACACTTTGATATTTTAAAAATTTGTGATCTTGTATTTTTAATGCGCAAAACATTGTATCCATTTAATAATAACGTCATTTTGTACTATTTTATTTTAATTGTTTTTCTCATAACATTATAAATTTACATTTGGGACATTTCAAAATTAATTTGTTTAGTTCTTTAAAACTAATTTTTGTGTTTTTAATTTATGAATATTTTTGTAGCTATGATCCAATTTATTTGAGTTTTCAAAACTTTATTTTATTTTAAAATTTTAAAACTTAAGTTCCTTATTTAATCTTGTTTGTTATTTAGCATATTGCGATGGATCCTTCTATTGATTGTTCAAGTCCTTATTGATGTTGTAAATAATGCGTGTTTTATTAGCATTAACATATTTTTGGGTAATAGTGTAGAGCCTGATCTTTTGGGTACAATTAATGGATTTGGAATGTCTATATCTTGCATTGGAAGGTAAATAATTTATGTTAAATGCTATACTTTTATGGAATTATTTTTTAACAATTCCTATGTTTAATGCCGTAGTAGAACGTTTGAATAACAATCAAGAGAAAAAAAAATTTTGAATTTTAATCAAAATCAAGAGAAAAAAAATTTAAAGTTTTGAACTTCCTTTACTGTAGTGGCTCGTGAACAACCTTTTTTTTTTTTCTTTTTTTTTTTCTTTTTTTATTCTTTATTACAACATTTATGGTATAGATACAAATAATATAAAAAAGAAAATAGAAAAGGCAACAAGTCAAGATATCGTTAAGTAATAAAGAATAAAAATAAATATAAAGAACGCGGAAATTCAAAGAAGACCATCAGGTCTTGTCACAGAGAAACTGCTTTTGAAAGTTTTTTTTTTTTTTTTAATTTTTAGTTTGTTTTTTTTTCAATGTTTTCATTCTTAATATTTATTTATTTTTGTTCAATTTATTTTTATTACAAAACTAAATTTAATAATAAAAGTATATAAAGTTTGTAATATAATATTATAAATAAACATCATCGATATTTACACCTAAAAATCTTGTCACTAAAACTCTATTAAAAACTGGTGCTTTTTACCATAAGGATGGAAAAGAATCCATTTAGTTTTATCGATATTTAGTGAGAGTTTGTTTAATCTAAACCATTCAGAAATTTTGACTAGTTCAATGTTCATATTGCTAAAAAGTGTAATAATGTTACTATGAGAAAGAAATAGGTTAGAATCATCAGCAAACATAATTGTCATTAGGTTAAAAGTTTTTGGTAGATCATTAATATATATTATTAATAGGAGAGGTCTTTATATGGATCCTTGAGGAACTCCACATGATATATTTAACAAACTAGATAACACGTTATCATCCGCATAAGCAAATTGTTTTCAATTATTTAGGTAACTTTTTAGCCGAATTAATATTTTTCCATTAATTCCGCACCACTCCAACTTTTTTTAAAAAAATTCGTGATCTGTAGTATCACAAGCTTTCGCCAAATCAATGAAAACATCTAAAGTAAATTGAGAATTTTCAAATAGTAGAATTATTTTTTTGGAATCCATTTTGATTGCTGTAAAATAAATTGTTTAAAGTAAGATGACTATAAATTTTATTGTACAAAATTCTTTCTAAAACTTTAGAGAATACAGAAAGGAGTGAAATAGGACGATAGTTATTTATATTCTCAATGTTACCACTTTTTAATATTGGTATGACTTTTGCTAATTTTAGAGCTTGAGGAAGAATTCCCTGTTTAATTGATATTGAAAAAATTGTATAGAGTACATCTTTTAGAACATCAAATAAACTTATAATGTTGCCATTAATACCATCAGGACCTACTGCTTTGTTAGATTTTAACATTTTAAAGGCATTTTCAAACTCTTTAAAAGATAATTCAAAAGAGTTCAAGTAAGAGTTTAGAGGGAAACATAGATCATTCATTAAACTGTTAACTATAGGAATTCTTTTTGCCAGATTTGGTCCTACAGACACAAAATATTTATTAAATTCTTCCGTAATTTGTCTTTTATCATATTAAAACTCACTATTATGTTTAACCGTGTTTGGCAAAGAGTGAGATGTACTTTTTTTTTGCGTTTAAAATTTAATTTATATATATATATATATATATATATATATATATATATATATATATATATATATATATATATATATATATATATATATATATATATATATATATATATATATATATATATATATATATATATATATATATATAGTAAATTTAAAAAAGCAATAACCCTTGAATTTTAAGCTGTCTATTTCTTATAAAAATATTCATATGCTGAAGAGAATGTTACCAAGATACTGTAACATCTGAATATAAGGTTTTGATCAATACCCAGAATTTCAGCTGTTTTTTCGTATGCTGCAAAAGCACGCCTTGAGGTATTGCCATCATTGCTTTTCTCAGAACCACCACTTTTAGGGAGTGTGCAAAACCATCTCTAAAAATTGAATCCATGCGTGAAAACTGGAAAGACCATATTTGAACTCTCTGTTAGTATAATCTAAATTGAGGATGTCAAGACTGTTTGTAATTTTGGAGAGACGCCGCACACTGAACAGCATTAGAATGAGTTAGTTTTTTCAGATTATATCGTTTCCACCTTCCCATCAATCATTGTAGGTTCAATAATAAAATTCACTATATATATATATATATATATATAGTGAATTTTACCACCTTCCCATCAATCATTGTAGGTTCAATAATAAAATTATATATATATATATGTATATATATATATATATATATATATATATATATATATATATATATATATATATATATATATATATATATATATATATATATATATATATATATAGTATACTTTCCAAATGTTTCCAAGATCTGCAAGAGGTATGTTCTTCTAAATGCAAACAACTGTCTTTTTTAATTCATCGACATTTGAATATTGTTTTCCATCTGCATAAACGCGTCTTGCAAAGATGCGAGATACGTTTTCATTGGAACTTAAATCTGGTGAGAGCGTTTGCCATTCTAATAATTGAATTTTCTTGCTGGTACACCATGAGATGTTTGACTTTTCTTTATGATTTGGGTGCATTATCTTGTTGAAAAATAAAATTATTGTTACCAAATTTTTGTAAAATATTATTCAAATGACCATTCAACAAATTTCCATATCCTTCAGCATTTAATATAATATTAATAAAGCCAATCAAAGTTTTTCAAAATAATTTACTACCAAGATAGAATTTTTTTTCATGACACCACACAATTTTTACCAAGTCATATGGTCCTTGGCCTATTGATAACAAATCCGTTTGTGCGCTTCAGTTAGTGCTGGAGATGAGCGTTTTTTTGCATATATAAGCAACCTGACTTGTTTATTACACGATTCACCGTCAATCTTAAACATTTTAATTCCAAATCGGCGCCTAGTTGTCTCGCGGATATTGTGCAGTTAATAGCGGCATGCACAATTCGCATTTTGGCGAGCTGTAAGTATAGGTTTTCTATCACTTCCATGCTTTGTGCAATAGTTTGTTGGATCATTTACAAAATATTGATCAAACATAGTAAGCGTCTCAGTTAACAAGCTATTGCCCTGTTTGATAAACGTAATGACCTGTAGGCTTTGATCTTGCCTTTCTCTTCATTAGAGAGTGTAGTTCCTCTTGGTTTTCGTTAAAATGTATTTTATAAATTGAAAATGTAATAAATTTAATTTGAAAACGGCATTTATTATTATTTTTTGATGGCTTTTGATGCAATATTTATATATATATATATATATATATATATATATTATATATATATATATATATATATATATATATATATATATATATATATATATATATATACATATAAATATATATATATATATATATATATATACACATATAAATGTATATATATATATATATATATATATATGTGTGTGTGTGTGAGTGTTAATGTGTGTCTCTCTCTCTCTCTCTCTCTCTCTATATATATATATATATATATATATATATATATATATATATATTATACATATATATATATATATATATATATATATATATATATATATATATATATATATATATATATATATATATATATATATATATATATATATATATATATATATATAGTTCTTTTTAAACTTAATTCATACTATAAGTCATATAAAATATTAAACACAAAAACCTTACCTTTCACTTAACTGTGGTAATATATCTTTTACTAATATTTGTGTAACGCAAAGCCACCTCCCCTCATTGGAATTGTACCTTTTACCAAATTCACCAGCTATTCTAGCTATTAGTTAGAGATTTAAATTCTGCTATTTATTCTGATTTCAGTGTTAATGGGTACTATCCTTTGTTTTGAAAAGACTTCAATAGACACATGCTTGGCTTTGGGATATACATACGCATCAATTTATTTGTTTCTTGAGAGATGAGGATTGAACCCTTTGACAATTCCTTCAAATCCTTCTTATTAGCAACTTTTTACTCTATTAATTTTCTCTTTGTTCTTTATTTTTTTTTGGCACTTATCATATGTAAGTTTTGCAGATGTAAAGATTGCACTTTTTGCAATGTAAATTCTAATCGAATTGACCTCTCTAAATACAACAGTGCCAATATTGTAGTTATTGGTGATTTGAATGCTCGTTACAGTGAATGACTTAACTCTGACCCTACTGTCACTAAATTCTATAATTTTTGCATTTTTTATTATCTTACTTAGATAGTAAACCTTAAGACTCGTTTTCCTGACAGCCTAATTAATATGCGTTCACCCCTTGATTTATTTCTAGTTTGTCATCCTACCATGTATTCATTTTCTACTTTCTCTACTTAAGTTAGTTCTAACCATGGAATGATCTCTTGAAAACTTTCATCTCGTAATTCTTTTTTGGACTTATAACGCACTACTTACTGCTACACTAAAGCTTACTGGGATTCTTTTTGTGTTTTTATTTGTGACAGTCTTTGAGCTGATGTTTTTTCTCTCTAAGCTGAAACTTGTGCCTCGTACTGAACCTCCAGGACTCAAACACGAATAAAAGCTTTTATTCCTTCTTGTCGATTTTAAGTCAAACCTCTTTCTAATCCATGGTTTTGTGAGCAGCTGCTAATAATGCTTGAATGAGTCTTTTTTTGTCCAAACTAATGGAAAATGGCATTTGTAGTTCCAATTTTTAAATACACCTTTAAACATTCTGATCTTTCTAATTATTGTCCAATTAGTCCTCTTTTTATTACTAGCAAAGTCATTGAGTTTTTCATAAACAGATTTCTCACATTCCATATAGAGTCAAATAATTTACTGTCAGAAATGCATTAGATAGAGGCGGAGAGACTAGAGCTATTAACTTTGACATATATGAGGCATTTGACAAAGTTTGACATGCTGGTCTTCTCCATAACTGTTTTATGGTGAATCTGGGAAAGTTTTTGAGATTATCAAATCGTTTTTTTTTTAAAGTCATCTTAAATGGCTAAAACTCTTCTTTATTTCATCTTAAATAAGTCATCTTAAAACTCTTCTTTATTTTCAGTAACTTCTGGAGTACCTCAAGGTTCCTTGGTCCTGTTTTTTTTTATCTACATGAATGATCTTCCCCAAAAACCTTATATATAAAGTAGCTCTTTTCTTAATAATTCAATTTTATAATCCTGTCTTGTTAAAAAGACTTTTCTTTTTGATTGCTTAGAACAGGCCGCCGATCTTGAATCTGATCTCTCTTTTTTAACAGAATTGGGTTCACTTGGATTGTAAATTTAACTAGGTTATTTATTGCAAACAGCTATTGCAATACTGTCAACGTTACTGTATTATTGAATGGTAACCCTCTCAACTAGTCCTCTTCTTTATTTCTTCTTGGATTATCGTTTACTACTGACCTTATATGGAAACAATATACAAAATCCATTTTTAAATTTTAAAAAGTTTATCTCTATCATGCACGCCATTTTCTCACTTCTTATTTAATTATCTACCTCTGGAAATTTGTTTTTTGTCCAAGTATGGAATACTTTAGTTTTAATCTGGTTGTTATTTCTAGTGATAAACTTCATTTCTAGTAAATGTCTGAAAACACTGTGTAAAATTATTTCAACTTGCTGAATCTCCTATGTTTGAGCGTTTTCTCCATCGTCTTATTGTTGTATCTCTTTCTTTTTTCAATAAATACTATTATGGTCGCTGCTTAAAGGAGCTATTTAGTTCTAGTTCATCAATTAAAATTTATTTTTGAGTAAATCGTCATTCAGCAAAGTCAAATTTTTTTTACTGTATCTGTCTCTGCATGCTTTAAAAACTTTTATTTGTCAAGTTTTTTTCTCTGAACTTCAACTTTTCAAAACTTTCTTCCATCATCATATTTTCCTGACTCATACAACCTTCAATCTTTTAAGTATTCTTTAACAGTTTTCTTGCATTAAAACTCTATTCATTTTTTTTAGTAACTCCCAACATAATAATGGTTGCTTGCAGCTATGTTAAGAGTGAATAAGAAGCAAAATATATATATATATATATATAATATATATATATATATATATATATATATATATATATATATATATATATATATATATGATGATGATGATGATGATGATGATGATGATGATGATGATGATGATGATGATGATGATGATAGATGGTTGTAATTCCGACTTTTAAGGAGTCACTCGCTAATAACTTTATAGCGAAAGTCTGACCTTTAGGATTTAATGGTTTTGATGATTTTTTATAAATACTTTATTAAAAGTATTATATTTCTATTGAATTACATTTTTAATTTTTTTTTTAAGGGCTATTGGACCAGCAATTTTTGGTTTATCTTACAGCTGGTCGTTGTCAAATATTGAGCAACATAAACTTGGATTTCCATTTAATCAATACTTTGTTTTCTTTCTAATTTCCATTGTCTGTTTGCTTAATGGTGCGTACGTTTACTGGCTCATTCCATCTACTTTAAATAAAAGAAAAGTGCTTTCAGAAAATTAAATTGTTATCAGACTCAAAAACTAAAATAAATAAAAAGTTTAGTCAATCATTGATTTGTACCAATGCAGGGCTCCTTAATATCAATTTTTGTTTGTTTTTTTTAATATACTATAGGAAATTTTATTTTTTTCTAAAATTTAACTTTATTTTTTTAATTAAATAACTTTTAAATGTACAACATGATTATCAAAGTTCGTCGTTTTTTTGCAAGGTTATATTAAAAAAATAGAATTTCTAAAAAAAAAAAGATTTTTTTATTACTACTTTGCATAAAAGAAATTTTAATGAAACCATAAGTTGAATATAACTTAATTTTACATATTACTTTAAATATTAGATGTGTATTTTAAAATAATAACTATTTATTTTTTAACCTCATTTAAAGTATTTGCCATTCTGCATACAGCTGCAGGACATTTTTTGTTTGACAAACCAAAAACAATATGCTTAGAAATAATAATGTTATTTTCAGTTAAAGGGGATTTTAAATATTAAAAACGAAAAAGGAAGAAAAAACACATTTCTAAAAACACATAAGCATTACTATGATGATAAATTATTTTACACCCATCCAACAAAGCACTGTAGTCTTTTGTCGCCAATCTTTTTTTTTTTGATATTTTAATTGTAGGTGTAAGTTGTACCGGCTGGTTGTGAAGTTTGACTTAGCAATATTGATTAAGATTCTTTAAATACTATTGGCAGTAAAAGAACTACTGCATTTATGGTGACATTCATAATATAAAATCTTTATAGAAAATTCAAAAACAATATAAAATAAAACTGAAAGCAATAACATAAAAAGTTGCTATTATTTTTCCATAAATTTATAAAATGACATTATGGAAACCTTATACCAAACCATACAAGTGTTAAAACATGTTAAACTTAACAAAAATAAAAATACTATTATTTTGGAATATTAATTTAATACTAGCAGTAAACATCCGGTAATGCGGGTTATTAGTAAATTCATCATTAACAGCAACAAAAAAATATTATTATCTTGATACATTATTTAAAGATATTTATACAAATTTGTCTATAAATGATATTTTAATACTCCCTATCAGCAACATCATTGCTTATAATTAACGACATAAAACTGCATTAACATCAATTAAGTTCTTTTTTAAATATGTCACAACACAGTGTGTACCAGAGAAGAAAACTCAAATAAAGTTTGGCAATACCTAAAAAAAAAACACACCCAGCAAGCACAATCAACATTGAAAGCACGATCAAAGTTGAAACTTATGGTTGAAAAATAGTTGATTTTTGGTTGAAATGGAAACACAAATCAGCGTTAAAAAAAAACGTTAGATCAACAATGAAAAATGAACGTTGGATAAATATTAATTTAACCAACTGATATATGAGTTAGTAAACCTCAAAAATACAACTTTTTGCGCTGTGACTCCTTTAATCCGAAAAAACATATTTTTTGTTCAATATTGTGTTTGTATGAGTAAGAAAAGAAACAATAATTCTTCATAAATTTATAATAGCTATCATAGTACAATATCTTATGCTATTATACTGCACATCATGTTCTCAATTTTTACAGCTTTTATTTATTATTATTATTAGTATTCATAATTTATTTTATATTATAATACTAACTGCTGTTATAGTATTACAAATAATCTTCACCATTTTTTTAACGCAGGTACCTAAATTATAGAAATTGAAAAGCCATTATTGAAAGTAAATAAAACAAAAAAAATAGTTTATACATTTTTAGAACAAAAACTTAAACAAAATTAAAATTATTTTCAAAACGATTTTGATAAAATTTTGATATCTTCATCTTCAATACCAATATCAAATTCATATGTATTTTTATCGCCTGCTGTTATCAGACTCATTTTGATTTGATGCACATTTCTCACGATCCAATCAATATGGGGCAAAGTTCAAACAGTTTAAATTCTATCTTTTTGTATTGTGCCTTTTTATTTAAGAACATCAGGTAACTGCATCTAAATAAAAATAACTTTAAATTAAGTGTACATTTGGTAAATTAAAGGTACATTTGTACATTTTAAAAGTATTCTTATACTTTACATTGTTCACAAATTTGTTCACACTATTGATCACTTAATGTTAACATTTTACAATGTTAACATTAAGTGATCAATAGTGTGAAAAAAAACAACCCATAACTGATCCATGCCTAATTTACTTCATTATTGACCGAGATATCAACCTATTTGAATAAAGATACATTATACATTAATGTCATACATCACCGTATATACACATAAACACAACATTCCCGTGTTTTTTTTAAAAACGGTCGCGATTAGCCCAGCTTTTTTTTAAATTCATCATATTTTTTAATTAATAGAATAAAAAATGTTTTTTACTACTTTTAACATTAATTAACACTACAAAATGTTATTATTCAAGTTTAGGAATATATAAATCATTCTACATAAGCATAAAATTTTGAAAATGCATTCACTAATATTTACTTTTTGTATGATATTTGTAAAAAGCAAGGAGCTGCAAAATGTCCTACATCACATTCTACACATTCATATCCTGAACCTTTTTGAACATTGTGTTTGTAACATACCGCACACCACATTTGAGCATTAACCTTTTATTATCATTTTCAATAATCATTCATTAAATATATCTTTTCATTATTGATTCATCAAATGTATAAAAATCTATCTTTTCGCGAGTAAATGTTTACTTTTTGATAATTATTTTTGCACTGAAAGAACTTCCTTATTTGTCATATTTAAAATTAAATTGAACACGTTTAAAAAACAATTATTGAAACAAAAGCTCTGTAATTATCTAGTATTAAATTTTGTGAGAAATAGACTTAAAGTTATTGATGAACAAGAAGGAAATATAAAGAGATGCACAAAACCGTAATATTACGGCATGGATATTTAGAAAGCAATTTACTTTGCGTAATATTATGGCATGGATTGTTTAAGATTTAAGTCAAACATTCATTTAGTTGAACCATTTTCCTTGGACTTCTGGAGGGTTAAGATAACTGTAGTTAACTGTATTTATATATACATATATGTATATAATTATACACATATGTATAAATTATTATGTACAATTATGTATATAGATGTATATATATATATATATATATATATATATATATATATATATATATATATATATATATATATATATATATATATATATATATATATATATATATATATATATATATATGTATATATATATATATATATATATATATCGGTGGGAACAGCGCAAAAAAATCTTACATACATACCAATAACACCTAGTAAATATTTAAAATCTATTTTCTTTTGTTTGTTATGCTTTAGATTAGGTCAAATAAAACTTTGTTCTTTATTTTGCCATTAACCTGCCAAATCAAAAAAAAATTAAATAAAAAAAAAAAAATAGTAAAAATACAATGAAATTACAAATCAGTTAAATAAGTGGAATACTGAATTCACAAATTAAAAAAAGTAATGGAATCATGGCAAAAAAATGTGATAAACAAAATCTTATTTAAAATCTTAAAAACCAAACATGAATACAACTTTAAGGTTACATTTATAAGACAATCTAATCTAGACAAGTCTATACAAATGTGATTAAACACTCAACGGGTAAATTGAAATTTAAAAAAAAAAAAAAAAGAAGAAAGAAAGTTAGGTTTCCTAACTTTCTTTCTTCTTTTTAACAAATATTTTGGAGTTTTGAAGTCTCTTTTAGATCTTAGCTCTAATTTGAGCATTGTGTAAGCAATTTTTAATAATTTTTTCTTTTTTTATAGCTAACTTTTTTTAGCGCTAACTCTTTTACATATACTATAAATAAGAAAAAAAGAAATAATTTAAAGAATTTAAGTAAATAAATAATTATAACAATAAAAATATAATTTTTAAAAGTAAACATCTTAGATAAGTTTTTATATAACTAATTAAGTTAAAACATCTGTTATAGTGTGTAAACTTATCCAATATATTTCTTTATATTAAAATACAATATCTCTAGGGGTTATATATACCCTCGTTATTCAAGTAATATGAAAAAAACCCGTTAAAAAACAAATAAACAAATAATAAAACTTCAATGTATTGTGTTCTTGCGTCTTAAATAAGAATAATAAGGTTTCCAAAACGACGACGTGACGTAATCGCCGTCGTCTTCATTCAAACCACCTTCATTTGGAGAGCACTGGTGATACTGAATTTCCAAAGACTCTCTCACTTTTCTCTTAAAATAGTCTTCCTCTACTTTAACAGTATTGTTTTTATTCCAGCTAAAGGCACCATGGTAATTTCTGGAATGCCCCGCTACAGCTAAATTTTTCCATTTTCCCTCAGAAGTATGATTTTGATGTTGGTAAATGCGATTTGAAAACTTGAGTTTTGTTTCACCTACATAAAGTTTTCCACACGAACACTCCAGTTTGTAGACTCCTGGATAATACTTGTTGGGAAGTCGAGGATTGTTTTTTTGAGTTATTAATTGTTGAAGGTTTTTTGGTGATTTAAAAACTGGAGTATAGCCAGCATTTTTAAATATCTTTTTTAATTGATTACTTAATTTTGGCAATCATGGCAGATAAATATAGTTAAGTTGTAGTTTTTTGCTGTCATTGTTGTTGTTTTGTTGATTATTTTGCTTATTGTTTTTAATTTTTTCAACAATGTTTTGAAGTATTTTTATTTATAACCATTTTCTATAAACATTTCTGTAAGAAACTTTAATTCATGGTTTATGTTTTCTTTACTGCATAATGCAAAAGCTCTTTGGATAAAACCTTTAAATACACCATAAATTATTTTTGGATCGTGACAAGAATGCGGCATTATTTGCACATTTGTTATTGCATCTTTACGATAGATATTAAAAAGATATGTTCCAGATTTGTTATTTGGTATTGAGAGATCAAGAAAATTTATTGTGTATGAGTCACTTTCTTTTTTAATTGTGTATTTGATACTTGTGTGTTGGTTGTTTAACAAGTCAAGAAAACATTCTGATTCTGCCTCATTATTAAAACGGGAATGGATATCGTCAACAAACCTTTTGAATGATTTTACACGTATTGGTGGTGCAAGATATTGTGCCTGTATTAAAGCTTTTTCTTCATAATGTTGCAGAAAAATCTCTGCCATTACTACCATTAATGATAATCCTATAGGACCGTCATCTTCTAATGTATGTATATTGTTTTCATGTAAAAATAACAGTTTAATAACCACAAATCTAAAAGTATTTTTATTTCTGAAAACGATAATTTTGAACAAAGACAGGACTATTACAGAGTTGTTCTGATAGAATATCGATTGATTTTTTAACTTGAATTGAAGGGTAAAGATTAATAATATTGAGAGAAACTTGAAATTCACCAGGATCGATACACCATGTTTGAACACATTCAACAAATTATTTTGAATTTCGAAGTTTTGTTTTGTTTAGATTGGAGGTAGGTTGAATGAGGTTAACTAAATAATTGTATAATTTATATGTAGGTGACCCTATTGTGCTTACTTTAATTCGCATTGGGTAGTTATTAGTTGGTTTGTGTGCCTTGATGACACCATATAATCGTGGCGGAGTGGCATCACTTGGATAAATTGATCTATATTCATTTTTTGTAAACTTTGTTTTTAGATTTCGTAAAGTATTCTGAACTTTGCAAAGGAGTTTTTGAGTTTGATCATAGTTTATGATTTTAGATTTTCCGAGATGTTCTTTAATTTTTTTAAGAGCATCAATTTTATTAATTCGAACAAAGGCTGATCCTTTATCAAACGGATAAATACTAATTGTGTTGCTAGACTAAAGTTCTTTGAGAGCTTTAAACTGATCTTTATCTAAATTTGTAGAAACCGGTTTATGCATTTTCAAAACTCGAAGTACATCTTGTCTAAGTTTATATGCGTCAGTGTTTTTATTTGAATATCCAGCAAACATGTCAGCGTTGAATCAACGTTGAAAACCGGTTGCAAAAGATTTTGCGGAAAAGTGGACAAAGTAATCAATTTTGCAAAGATATGTAACGTTGTTAAAGAGACGTTGATAAAATGTTGTAGCGTATTGTTGAAAAAACGTTACTAAAAGACGTTACAAAAATAACGCAACTAAACGTTGAAAAAGCGTAGCTTAAAAAGCGTTGCATAAGCGTCGCAACTTAATGTTAAAAAAACGTTACTTGAAAAGCTTTACTGAAACATTGTTAAAGCAGTCGATTTCGATAATTTATATGTAGGTGACTCTATTGTGCCACTATAACCTGTATTACTAATTTGATTTATTAATAAAGGAAAGGCAGTATAAAGATAAAAATGACCAAAAAAAGTACAAGTTTATGAAAGAGGTAACACTTAATTTATGTAGTGATAATATCCCAACATATCACAAAAAATTACTTGATTTAGGACCTAATTTTGTTTCTATACCGAATAAAGTTCCATATATGGATATAATAAGTATAACTGAAACGGCAGCTTTAAAGTTAAAGTACTCAGCAAACATATCAGCGATGAAAACCAGGCGCAGCGTAGAAAAAACGTTACAGTCACAAAAACAACGTGCTTTCAACATTGAATCAATGTATTTTTTTGTATACTAAATCGCGGTTAATTGAAACGTTGAATAAGCGTTGAAATCGTAACGTAATTTAGCTTCTCAAAATAAAACGTTTATTCAACGTGGAATCAACCTACGCAAAAAGCCACTTTAAAAACGTTTTAAAGCATATCAACGTTAAAAACAAACCGCTTTTTAAACATTACATTTTCAACGTTGAATAAACGTATAAATTTAAACGTATCTTATCTTCTCAAAATATCGCGTTTACTCAACGTTGAATAAAAGTCCGCAAATAATCACTGTAAAAACGTCGCAAAGTTTATTGTTTATCAACGTTAGACGTTATCTGCTTTTTTAACGTATTTAAGCTATTTATAAAACAACGCTTATTCAACTTTACATAAGCAACTTTGAAAATTTAGTAAATTAAAAACGTTGAAAAAGTATTACTTTGCCAACGTTAATAAAACGTTGCTTTGACAACGTTGAGGAAGTGGCACATTGAAAATTATTGTCTCAACTAGTCATTACAAAAGTAATTTGCCTTAATGGAAAGGTAAGGAAAACCTATTAGAATGCATGCATATGGTTTAAAAAATATTTTAATAAAGTTTTTTTTTATAACCTATTTTTATTGCGAATAATTTAAAACTTTTAGATTCTATTTCAAATTGTATACAATATACAAAAATCTCTTCGATTTATTCAGGTTAATTTTATCGATTTTATATTTATTTTAAATTGACCATTTTAATGAAATGTTAAACTTTTTTAAGTATGTTATTTCTTAATAAGAAATAATACTTAGTTTTAATAAGATTCAGATGTGTAAAATATAATCAAAATTAATAAAACATAATAAGTAAGATTAAATTAAGTCTGTTAACAGACTAAATTCCTAAATTATTTGAAAAACTTTGAACACCTCACCCTAATTATCAAGTAAAAACTTCAGTACTGCGTCTTCCATCATCTTTTTTGTATAAAAACATGTTTAGATAAGTAACTTTATTTCCATTTTTTACAGGAACTTCAATTTTATCAGAGAAAATAGCTTGTCCTGATTATAGAGTTGTTGTATATTAAGTTCTAAAATTTATTCTTTATCATATATTTTTATTGATATATATTTTTATTTATTTTAATAATATGTATATAGGCATGTATATATGGGTAAGTTTATGAATATATATATATATATATATATATATATATATATATATATATATATATATATATATATATATAAATATATATATATATATATATATATATATATAAATATATTTATATATACATATATATATATATATATATATATATATATATATATATATATATATATATATATATATATATATATATATGTATATATATATATATATTATATATGTTTATTATATTATATATGCATACTATATATATGTATATATATATATATATATATATATATATATATATATATATATATATATATATATATATATATATATATATATATATATTATATATATGCATATTATATATATGTATATATATATATATATATATATATATATATATATATATATATATATATATATATATATATATAAATATATATATATATATATATATATATATATATGTATATATATATATATATATATATATATATATATATATATATATATATATATATATGCATATATATAATATGCATATATATATATATATATATATATATATATATATATAATATATATATATATATATATATATATATATATATATGCATATATATAATATGCATATATATATATATATATATATATATATATATATATATATATATATATATATATATATATATATAAATATATATATATATATATATATATATATATATATATATATATATATATATATATATATATATATATATATATATATATATATATATATATATATATATATATATATATATATATTATATATATGCATATATATAATATGCATATATAATATATACATTCACTATATATATATATATATATACATACATAATATAAATATATATAATGGATGATGTTTTACAAAATAATGATTTATCAAGCTTTTTTACCAATCCATGTGATTTAAAGAGTTTAAATATTTTTTATATTAAAAAATTTTTATTAAATTTTTAAAGATTTTTCTTGTAAAGTTGTATAAAAAAGAATTTGTGAATGCTTCTTTAGTACATAATATTGGTAGAAAGATCAACATAAAAATTTAGCAAATTTTAGCAATTGTATAATGTATCATAAGGTACAGTTTATAGCTGTGTTTTTCTGTTAGCTATTTTACATGAACAAATTTTTAATATATAAGTATTTTTTCTATTATAATTTCTACTATTCTTTTCCAGTTGAAAAAGTATAGTAGGGCATGCGAAATGTTCATTCGAGCTGTTTGGATAGAAAATACAGAGAAATAAAGAGAGAAAATTCGATTGATTATTTTTTGTGCTGCTCGTCATCTTTAAATTTAATAAATTATTTCAATGAAATGCATAAACCGCAACTAACTAATACAGATTTAAGCTGCTCAAAATTTAATGTCATGGAGATAATGTAATTTATTTTTAATATAAACCTTAAGTCATTACTTTTTTTCCTTGTTTTTTTTAACATGCTTTCATTCTGTATATGTTGTTTTCAGTGTTTAGATATATTCTTTATTATATATTCTTTATTATATAATGTATTTAAAACATTTTTAAATTGAATGAATATTCTTAGATCATGAGTTATGTAATAAATTTGAATTTGCCTCTATAAGTGATACTCAGATAGAATCAGGTTCAGAAAACAGTAACTATTTCAAAAGATACTTAATTCAAGTATTATTAGTTATATTTTGATATTAATTATTATAGGAGCCACTACCATGCTTATGCAAGAGAAAACATAATAACCAACAGAATAGTAAGCAAATACCTACTCCTGTAACGCAAAAAAAGAAACAGAAAACATTTTTTTATGCATACTCCACATACTGTAGCTTAAGGTATTAATTGTCTGTCTGCAAGTTGATTTAGGAAGAAAAGATTCTGAACATTTTTTTCTATGCTTCAGTAATTTACACATTTCTTTGGTTGCTAAATTAATACATTTTATTTAATTTATAAATAATATTTTGTTTTATAAATTTTTTGTTCTTGTGTTTCAACACTTTTAGAAATTAATTAATGTTTGGTTCTTTTGTCTTTCTGATATATCTTTATTGTTAGAAGGAGATGTTAGTAAATACTCTTTCCAGTAATTAAAGTAATATCATGACAAATAGTTCTGAAATTCTTATTGATAACAGTTTAAATGATTCTAGGGTGAGGTCAGAATTGATAGGTTGTTTTAAACCATGACTTTTTGCAGTTTTTTTTATTGTTTTTTGATTAAGTATTTATTAATAACTTAGCCTAAGTTAATCTACTTGTAACTTTTTATAAATGTACTATAAAAATAATGTGGTGTAATTATTTTCTTAAATCTTTAGGTTAACAAACTTTCTAAAATTGGAGGTAAAACCATTAAGACAAATACAAATACATGTGATGCAA